CAGCAAGTATTCCCTTGTCCAGAGCTCTTCCTGTGAGGCCTCAGACTCTTGTTGTATGTGTTTTTCAGTTCATTAAACTGTAAGATTAGAAGTCTGAAGTTTCCAAATTACAAACAGTGTATCATACATGGCTGGACTTGGGATTTATGGTCTGTATTCCTCCAACTTAGTGTTTAAGAACGCTGATGATGAACATTTGATTGTCTTTAAAATCTGATTTTGTCTGTGCTGAGATGCTTTCAGCTGCTTGTAGTTGAGCTTATCAGCCCTCATTAGCTGCCAGCTGTGAGAAATCACATACCATAATGTGCATCTTTTTAAAGCCTAGAAAATATTCCTGAAAAGCAGCTGGAAACCTCAGCCTATCTGATTTTTGCTAACTTCCCCCTAAATGCAGCCCTTTGCCAAAATCTCTAGGACATAGCTATCAGGTAAGAATGTGAAGAACAAATCGCATTCAAACTACTAAAGATAGCAGCTGGAAATGAATCTGTAAACAGGTCAAAGCCTTTGAGAGAAATTCAAGGTGAATAGATCTTTCTGGATTCTTTTTCTCTTTTGTCCTATAGAGAGGATGTAATTATTATTTATAACATATCTTAGCATCTTGCCATAATTTATATTGCACGAGTGATTTACACCATCTGGGGTCTGAAGTGCATTAAGTGATCTAAGGACTCCCCTTAATTGCAGTGAGCTATGAGTCAAGCCCTTGAACTCTGTTAGGGCAAGCTTCACCAAATGCAGTCTTCTAAGCATTTTTAATTGAAAGGTAAGCAATTTTTGACTCTGCAGAAGGCAAGCTGTGTTGATGTTTCATAATTGATTTACTCAGAGGCATTATAGAAAAAGCTTAGGGAAGAAGGCCAAGATGTGCAAGCTGCTGGAGAGTTTTCCATCTTGAACAGTGCTTAAAATTAAGTAGGGTGTAAATTTTTGTTTCTTACTGAAGTGTGGACAAGTTCCAACTCCCCTGCAGGATGAGTTGTAATAGTTTACTCTGCTGAATTCCTGTGAAGGTACTTCTTTGTTATTACAGTGCCGTGATGCGTGTATCAATAAATGACCTGGCCCAACAGAATCAGCCATTTGGCAGCATTGTACTTAGCTCACTTTTGAAATGAAACTAGTAACTGGAAGGATGAAGGGGACAGGAATTTCACTTCTGTGCCTGTGTATTAAACAGAACTGTGCTGCCCAGAGAGGAATTTAATGGTTTACCTTGAAGCTCAGGCCTTCCTTCAGCTGTCTAGTCATCGCGAGGAAGTACTAGATGTATGTAATGGTTTGGGGGTTTTTTGGTGCTATACGTGAGTCCCCCAGCTGATCTCCTGAGACAGTCGCAGAGTGGAGAAAGTCTTGAGCAGCTTACGCTATCAATAAACAGGAGAAACGGGCACAGTTTAGAACACTATTCTAAACAGAGAGGGCTTTTACAGGACCACGCAGCAGGCCAGTAATAGTGTTTTCTGAGTCTCAATGTAGTATTCAGCTGCTGGACCAAACTGCTTCCAAACATTGTCTTTTTGCTGGGTGTAGTCTCCTTCTCTCTTTCCCAAAACCCAAGGTGCCCCTAGAGTCTGCAGTACGAGCTGGCATGTTCTGCAGAAGCCCCTCAGCCTGGCTCCTCCCTCTCTTTCATCTTTATAATAGTGTTGAATGCCTGTGAGCATTCAGTGTTCCAGCAGTTGCATTGTGCCTGTTCATCGAGTTGCTTCTGCTAGTACCCAGTCAGACAAACGGAACTAGGAGAGGCTAAAGGAATTGCTGTAAGTGAGATACTGCCTTCAATCACTGCTGTTCTTGTTCTAGATGACGAGGATCAAAGCCTGTGTGCAACAGGCTGTCACCTTCCTAGCTGATGGTTGTTCATCTTTTCCACTGCTGTCTTAATACTGACGCCTTCCTTCAGCACTGCATACAGAAGACTGGTTGAGGAGTAATGTTGTCTTTTTTTATTTACATTTTGAAAGACTGAAAACCTTCTGAGGAATGAGAGCTGATTCTAGCAAAGTAACTTTTTTAATCCTTAGTTTGTTTTGCTGTAAAGCCAGCATGAGAAAACTTTGTAGTACCTCCTCAGGTAGATGGTGAATGGATATTGCAATGGTTAATTTAAGCGGTATCTAAGGAATTCTTACACACTGGGAGGCACTAAACCCCTCTGCCCTCCCATTATTCTCTCTAACTGATTCCGTTTGTCCTTAAATTACTCTAGTACTAAATTAGAGCTAGGAAAGTGTATTAGCCTTTGCAAAAATTCTTTTTTGCACATATTTACACTCTATTTGTTCTTTTAGACAGTCAGCAGCCAGTGTGTTAAGAACACTTTCTTTTCAAGGTGATGCAAGCAATGTATTACCAGCTCTCATTAGCTTTGAAGGAGGCCACTAGAAATAAAGATCATTTTGTAGTATGTACCAAATTGTAAGGAAAAAGTAGCAGTAATCTACAGGTTAAATCTACCAAGAAAACCGCGGTTCCTCACTGGCTCAACCTGAAGACTACTGCTGCTTTTCCATTATGTGCCCTGGTGGGTGATTTAGCTGTTCAGTTCATGTGCTGCTCTGGCAACAGCTAACAGTAGCTACCACTTTGTCTCTATTCTATAATTACTTTTTAGAAAATGTAGGCTGATCCATAACTCAAATGTCAGTCCTCTCCTTTGATCCTTTCACAAGGATCAAAACATTCCCATTTTGAAGTATTTTTTACAACAACAACAAAAAAGACAGCATTTAAATTTAACCCAGGAAGAATCCTCTGTGTAAATTTCATTCACCTCTCTTGTTAGGTGAAAAATGTAGAGAAAATGAGTGAGGGAAACTACTGAGCTGTAATGTCAAGAGTTTTCAGAGGAGTACAGGTTTGGGGAAAATTTCATAAAAGTTGATGAGGTAAGATTAACTGAAACCAGTGTTTTCTGAGCATCAGTCAGAAGCAAGTAATACCGTATGTAGGATTTTTTTTTGCCTACGTAGTCTCCTAAATGGTAAGTTTTCTTGGGCATTTTTAATACTGTTTTTATAGTTTCTGGTGTAATGGTGTCCTGAACCTTGTTTGACACTATGACGACAAATGCAATCAAAAATACTGCAGCAGCTTGAGACTTGATATAACCTGGCATTGATTGTTTTTCATAGTTCTGTTGCTCTTTTAGAATGCAAATGTACAATTATTTTAAGCCATGCAGAAATTTTGTTGCAGAGTTTGAAATGAAAAAGTTAATAAAATATGCTGGTTTTCACCCTCCTCCCCCCTACCCCTTATTCAGTTAAGAGTAGGAGATTGAGACAAAAGAGGGCTTCAGAAACAATTTCTCATGTCTCTTGATGCAGGGTGAAACAGCTTTGTTTCAGATCATTTTGGTGCAAATGAAATAAACACCTTGGTTTTCTGCAGCCCAAATGGAAAGTGACATTAAGGTTTTGCTTTTAAGCCCCCCAGATGAGAACCTCCTGGAGGAGGCTGTTCTATTAGTGCCTCAACTGGCTACTAAAATTTCTTTAATAGCACCTTCCCATTTCTCAGAGCGTAAGGGCCTAGTACGCAGGAGCAGTCCACTTCAGTTGCTTCCTTTCCTTTCCCTGCGAACCCATGGGTGCGTGCCTCTTCCAGCCCCTTGTTACTGCACACACCTACAGCTGCCTCTCTCCACAGCCTGCACGCTGATTGTGGCATGCATCTCCTTTGTGGAGAGCTGGCTGGAAGAGGACCAGTGCAACAACCAGGGGATAAATCCACTTTATAGGTTTGTCACATCCTTTTTGGTGCAGTGAAGTGTTCACCAGAATCTTTTCTCTAGTATTTGTTATGGCTGGTCTCAGAAGTGACTGTGTTTTCACCTGGAGACCTTTGTTTGAATTGGGACTCTTCAGAATGAGGTACAGAAAATCCTGTAACCAGGGATTAACCCAGCAATGAGGAACTGTAAAACCAGCTTTAACTACTTGCCTTTCATCTCTAGCAGGAAGTTTCCTTTAGACAGTAGATATTTCTGCTCCAATGGACAAAGGTCTTCACTTCATGTTCTGTGTGATTACAACCATGCTGCTCCTGAGAGAATCAAGCCAGACAGGTGAGAAAAATGATCCAAAAATGCTGGCTGCATCCAAATCTGGTTTTGTTGTTCTTTACAGTGTGTTAATTCTTTCAGTCTTTAACTGCTAGTGCTTGCAGGATTTTGTCTTAATCTAAGAACTCGCTTTTGAATTGGTTATTAAGACATCACCAGGGCCTACCTTGTTGTTACAGCTTGTGATTGTGACTTTGTCATGTTATGAGTGCTGCTACTAAGTGTCTTTGCTGCTACGGTTGCAAATCAGATGATTTCCCAGAGATCAGGGAAGATGAAAAAGCCTAGAACAAGGGTGGTTAGTTGTCCTTGAACACCATTATTGTGGTTAAAGCTGCACTTCTTTGAGTCTATGGTCCCTTGAATTGCAGCAAGATACGCTGATTAACTTGTTCTTCTGTGAGTAATGTTTTGCATGTTACTTGTTTAGCCCCTCTGCTCGCGGCACGTTTTGGGAAGAAGAGGGGATTTAGTGCATTGAAGTTGTCAGCTCTGTGAGTCCCCATACTTCTTGTAGGCAAAGGGTAATGCTACATTCCCTCTGAAGTTCCTAAGAGACCATAGTAGGAGCCTGCCAGGGACTTCTTCACAGTGCTCAGCCAGTTGGATCACACTTTGCTTTCAGTGTGAGGAGCTGGGAAGCTTGCTTTTGCAACTGAACAACAATGCTATTGTTTTGATCTTATTGTGGCTTTTTGGAGTCCAGACTCAGGCTAAGGAGTAGCTTGACCTTGCAAAATTACTGGGAGATAAAAATCGGTTCTCTGTTTAGAGGGTTGGGAGAGCAACTTCACTTCCTCTGCGGTCTCTCCTGTCCATCTCACACACCCATCTCCTATCTACCCAGAGCTGGTAATTGCATAGCTATGGTAGCAGCAGTTCACCTCAGGTTACAGATACTGCAGCCATTTGCTTCTGTGATGATGGTCAAATTCTCTCATACTGAGAATTCTCTCATCCTGTGTGTCCCAGTGTACTCCAAAACTGTAATCCACCTGACCCATCGCCTCATCTTTTAGTTCAGCTCTCTCTCCTGGTCACAAGCTGCAAAAGGGGAAATGCTGGCAAAGGATGCAAAGACAAGAGTACTAGCCTAGAGAGGGAGGATGAGGCAGAAAATTGGGGTGAGGTGGCCAGTTCTTAACAGTGCTACAAGCTTTTTCAACGTGACCCGGCAACGTGCACTTGCAGCCCAGAAAGTCAACTGTATCCTGGGCTGCATCAGAAGAAGCGTGACCAGCAGGTCGGGGGAGATGATTCTCCCCTGTCTACTCTGCTCTCGTGAGACCCCACCTGGAGTACTGCATTCAGCTCTGGGGCTCCCAACATAAGAAAGACAGGGACCTGTTGGATCGAGTCCAGAGGAGGGCCACGAAGACAATCGGAGGGCTGGAGCCCCTCTCCTCTGAAGACAGGCTGAGAGAGTTGGGGTTGTTCAGCCTGGAGAAGAGAAGGCTCTGAGGAAACTTCAGAGCAGCCTTCCAGTACCTGAAGGGGGCCTACAAGAAAGCTGGAGAGGGACTTTTTACAAGGGCATGTAGTGATAGGACAAGGGGTAATGGCTTTAAACTGAAAGAGGGTAGATTTAGACTAGATATAAGGAAGAAATCCTTCACTATGAGGGTGGTGAGGCACTGGCACAGGTTGCCCAGAGAAGCTGTGGATGCCCCATCCCTGGAAGTGTTCAAGGCCAGGTTGGACGGGGCTTTGAGCCACCTGGTCTAGTGGCAGGGGGGCCCGCCCCCGCGCGGGGGGTTGGAACTAGATGATCTTTAAGGTCCCTTCAAAGCCGAACCATTCTATGATTGAAGCTAAGCAGGGGTTCATCTCCCATTAGAAGGCTGGGCCTGCTCAGAATAGAAGGGGTAAGGACAAGGCTGATTTTTGCAACCAGTTATTTCCTGCAGCCACCAGCCTTCGGGGAACAAGAGTGGAGGGATGAGCTTCTTTTCTTTGTCTTATGTTTTTGTAGACTCTCACAAAGGATTCTCACAATGAGGACTTGGCTTCTGAGAAGTGTCACTGCAATGAACTTTGAGTTAGTGCTGCAACTTGATTACTTATGGTCCTTTCAGGAGTTCTTACAATGGGGCTTTAAACAGCTGCATCCAGTGCCACTGTGGGGGAGCTGAATCTCTCAGTACAAACTGTTTTCTTCCAAGAAACCCTAGCAGGTCTTCAAAAAGGAGGCTCAAAAAGCTTTTACTGGCTTTAATGAGTTTCTAAAGGGAGACAAGAGAACTCCTTTGTGAAGATTTCCAGCTCCCATGGAGAACTGTAGTGGAGAGGGAAAAAGCAGGTTTTGTTTTACAATAATGTAGAGTTCAGCACAAGGCCAGAAAATGCAAAACCAAAGAATGAATAATACATAATGAATGAATATGTTGTTATATTTAATGAAAAACTCACAGCTTTTGCTTGAAAGAGTGAAAACACCCTAAATTTTTTGTTTTATCTTGAGGGATTTTTGGCTTTTGCACTGTGAATTCTTTGATTCCAAGGAGCAATGCTGTGCACATTCTAGAAAAAACATCCTGGGCAATTAATGAGTCATATATTGACACAATTGTGGGTTTAATTCAGCATCTCAATTGTTGTAGTTTAGCTGTCTTGCAGCTGGGGTGGGATTGAGGTATTCTCCTGAGTATTATGAAAAGAGAGGTTGTGGATCAAATAATTTAACAGGACTTGTAGAACCCAGAAGCATGATTAACCACAATAATAGTATTTTTACAGGTGGATCTTGGTGTTTTTAGCAAAGAAGGGAGTATCGTTACCTTTGTTTTACAAATGGGAAACTGAGGCATAGGAAGGAGAAGTAATACAGAAAAGGTCAACAGCGGATTTGACGATTTGACATCAAATGCATTGGTGTTCACTCCAATGCAGTCTACAGGGTTGCACTGGCTCTCGATCTCAGTACTGTCAATTTTATGTACTTCCCTTACTCTCTATTCCTCGATGGGATACAGAGAACCGGCAAAACAAGACAGGTTTCCTGGTCCCTTTTTCTTTAGCGCTGTTGCTGTTGGTTCCTGGTTTTGGTCATGGCCCTTTTGGAGGTTTTAATTTTCACAGGAATGAAGAGTCAGGGTGCTTATAATTTGAGGGGGGAACAGAGTAGGACGTGGTGGAGAAGGGTTTCTACCCTAGTGGTTGCAACCCCTTTGGCTTCTTTGACAGTAGGAACCTATAATTAAGAGGGGAAGGGAAGAGTAAGAAAACCTCGTGTCTTGGAACTTAGTGGCGATGAACTTTTGGTTGTTTACAGGGCTTTTCCTTAGGGGTATAGACAAGGTTTTGCAGGATTTATGGGGAAATCTTAGTTGTGCAAAGTAGCAGGAGAGATGGCTTTTCACCTTGTCAGGGAGGGCAATAAGGAAATAAGGCAATGGATTCTGCAGAATCCATTCCTCAGTGTGTGAGTGACAGTCATAATCATTAAGTTACAATTAGAACCTTCTACAGCCTGAATCTGGCTGTGTCTATTTCTGCTTCTGTTTGTTTCACAGTAATACTGTGCTGTGAATGAGGAAACAAACTTGACAAAACTGCTGCAAGTCAACTGCACTGTGAGCTTGTGAGTCAAGGATAATCATTCTGTTTATTTAAGTGCAATATGAAATGAGGGTATGAAACTTCATTTTTAAGGAGCTGTAAATATAAGGCCTGCAAGAAGTTGATTTTGTTGGTTTTTTTTTTTTTTTCAGGAACTGCAAGGAATGATGATGCTGTGGGTAAGGTATGTTTAAGTTCATTGGTGCAGAGCTACCTATAAAGGCATATGTGCAAAAGTCTTACATTTTAAATCCAGAAATAGATGTGGTCATAGTGTGCAATGCTTTTAATCTGTGAGGAGTTATTATTTTAAATATACTTTTTGTGGCTAGTGATGGCCATTTCTAAGTCTGTCTGTGTGTCTATGCTTTTTTTTTACTCAATCTTTTGTCCAGAATTCAAAATTCAGTCATGCCCCAGGGAAGAACCTGCCTATAGTCCTGTCTTCATGGCTTATAGAATTTAAACCTCAGAATCATTGCATCACTTACGATCTTTCTATACTTCTTAACATCGAAGAAAATTCAGACACATATGAACATGCAGATACACCTTTATTAGTTCTTGTGTGTTTTATTTCCAAAAGTTTCCACTTAACGTAAAACGGGTCTGCGTGCGATGTAATTCCTCAGGCTTTAGAAGATGGCAAATGTCACTTAAAATCTAACCTGCTAGAACGTGTATATACTCACATAGTGCAGGACAGTATTTGTTCTAAAGACTTTCCAATCAAAAATGGTGGGAGAGTTGGTTATGGTAGCATTAGGAAATGAAATTAATTGTCCAAATGGCGTAGGTAGAGACAGAATTTGTCACCTCGGCTCGTTTCTCAATCTCAAAGCATGCTGGATGCCTGTCCCGTGCCTAAAAGAGAGTTTTTAGGAAACTTGTGGAATTTAAATCAGTTTCAATTAGCATAAACCTCCAATTGTTGATTCTAGCATTGAGAAATAAACACAAACAAAAAAATCAAATCCCAAAGAAACACATCTCAACTGCCCTCTTGTCCTCCCCTCTCCCTGGTCTCCAGTCCCCTCACTGCACACATTTTATACTCAGTCCCTCTGATGAGGCAGCAAAGCAGCACAGGAGGATTGGGGTCAGTGTTTTGTGGTTCCTACTCAATTGCTTCTGTGCAGGTTCCTCCACTGACTGCAGCCCCGTTACAGTTGTACCTCCTCCTGCATCTCCTCCCTGTCCCTTCTTGGGGCGGCTCTTCTTCTTTGGCCTTTCTCCCACTCTGCTGTCCCTCCTGCTCTGGTAGCTTTCTTCTCCTTTCCCCCTGCTTGGGCAACTCTCCTGACCTGACATTGTCTTTCGTGTCTCTTCCTGCTCTAGCCTTGTCCCTCATCCAGTGGTTACCACCCTTTCTTAAAGAAGTTTTTGCATAGGCACCATAAACTTGTCCGATTCATTCAGTTTTGGTGCACTGTAGGTCTGTTTTGTCCATTTCTAAGCCAGCTTGAAACAGCTGTGTCCAGCACTGGGCAGTTCATGCCCTCCTGCAGAGGCCACCCCTACCCACCCTCCTGCTACCGAAACCCTGCAACTTTTGCCCAATAAAATACTCTTCTGGTATATTTACAAAAGTTGTAGTATGTTGTAGAGATTTTTTAAAGAACCACTTTGAAACCTTCAATAACTAGTGGGTGAAGCCAAGTGAGAGGCACAGGCCAGGATTTTTTGGTCTTTTGTTTTATTCACCTTTTTGTTCTGTAGACATAAATATTTTAAACAGACCTGAAAAGAAATGTGACTTTTTTGCTTTTATCTAAGAGCAAATTGTGGCTTACCTGGCAATAAAAACTTTGCTTCTAGAACACTCTGTGTTAGGTAACTTCTGATGACAGTTTCAAAGACAAAGCTCATCCCTCAAATCCTTCCATTGCAAAGAGAGAATTGAAACAGGATCATTCAGCTTCTGGAAGAACTAGAGCTTCTTTTGCAGATCTTGTGCTGTGCGTGCGCACACACACACACGCTCTCTCACTCTGTCTAGTAACATTACTGTGTAATTTTAGAATAAAGGGATACACTTAAGACCACCAAATCTTACAGAATTAGACTGCTTTACTGGTAAAAGCTTGAATTGTTCCGAAGTAGTACTGATCAGAAATCATCGCGAGTTGTGTGACTCTGTAAGGTTGGAAGATGTACTCTTGAATTCAGCATTCCGTGCAGAAGTGAATCCACGTTTCCTCTCCTCCTCCTCCTCAGGTGTCCTACTGTTCTGTGTCTCCTGGAATTGCTCTCTAATGAGATCTTAATTGGCTGCTGTTTTGTCAGCAACATGAATTGATCTCTTTGGAAGAGTGTATGCACTGGGTATCTGAAGAATTGTAACAACATTTAAAGTGATTTATTTTTTTGGACAAAGTATGCTGACAACACGCAATAAAGTGAAATGCTTGTGATTTATTAATTACTGTTAGGGAACGGTGGTGGTGAGATTGCTGCAGCATACAGGGGCAGATTTATAGCTGGTTTTATACATGCGCGCACACCCCCGACACCCACCCCAAGACATAATGTAAGCCCTAGCGAAGTGGGGCCATGTCTGGGACAAATAATTGAAATCCAATTATTTCTTCTTCATTTTTTGATTTGCAGGGCGCTGACTCAAGGGGACGAGAAGAGGGTCTTCCAACTTTGACTGTCACAACAATCCTGGTAAGGCAGTGACACAACACTGATAGTGCCTGGGAGGCAGCTGGAATTATACTTTGCCTTTTTTTCCCACCCATATATTTGCAGGCACTTTTTTGGGCTGTCTTTGACACTGATATTCCTGTTCGTCACAGGTGGTGTTTTTGGAGCACTGGCTCAGTGGTGTAGAGGTGCAAGCTGTCTGTAGTTTGCAATGGGAGGATTTGAGGGGTATCAAAGTCAGCCCACAAAATGGACTGGGCATACACTTCTATAAATGACTGCTCTGGGAGGACAGCCAGGCCTCTTCACTCTGTTTAGCTACACCTAAGGATTGTCATGTTACCTGTAAGTTGTTGCTGTCCCACAGTGGAAACATGTAAAGATCACACATGTGCAGGGATTAAAAACAGGCTATGAAAAAAAAGAAAATGCATTACCACATGCAGCAGACAAGGAGGACTACTCAGAAGAAGCTGCAGCAGTAGATTTTCTGATTCTGATGTCAGGTCCTGCACTGCTATGTGACCCTCATCTGATGCTCTGATGGGCCAGATGAAATGTATGTGGGCTTTTAGGCTGAGAAGAGATTATCACTTACTTCTGTGGTAGATGTGGCTTGCAGAATGCAGCTGTCCTGCTGGAGCTGTAGTCTATGACTAGTGGTGGCACATGACTACAGTGAATATCTCTCCAGTTTGGAAATGTTGTCCCCCCAATAATGTGGATAGAGGTCTTTGGGGAAGGTTTGCCCAAAAAATGGTCTAATTCACAATCAGTTGCACTGCAGACTGTGGGAGCATGTAATTGTGTATTTTTCCCTCAATATGCAGGAAGATCCTTATGTCATGGTGAGAAGTGCAGAACTGGAGGGATACTGCATTGATTTGCTGAAAGCACTGGCTGCGATGCTTCACTTCAGCTACAAGGTGAAGGTGGTAGGAGATGGGCAGTACGGTGCCGTCTCTTCCAATGGGAACTGGACAGGGATGATTGGCGAGATTTTGAGACAGGTAATTTTCAATTTATATTTTTGACAAACTGCAGCTCTAGAAGGAAAGAACAGTGCTAGCAGCTCTTGGACTTCATTAGAATGTGCTCAGGGACTGAGCTACTTAAAGTGATTCTGCCCGTTGTGTAGAACGGATGAATAGCAAGACTTTTAGTTCGTTTTGTCCTGCAAATATGGAAACTAAGGAACAAGGAGACAATGACCACAGCAGGAAATCATTGTTACAACAAGGTGCTCTTGGTGCAGTGCTTGTCTTGTCTCAGAGGCTACCCGGTGTTTCTTTGTAGTCTGAGAGACTGTACAGACATTTTAGCTCACTAATGAAACAAAGATAACGGCTTTAAGGAAAACTTACCTTGAACTTAACCACTAGGTGAAACTTGTCTCTTTCAGAATGGTAATCCCTTAGACTCTTTAAGGAGATACCTGAATGCACATCTTACCCCATTGTGTGCCATTCCCTATGGCTAGCGTTCTGTCATCTGTTGGTAACATTTGAATTAAACCTTCTTTGCTCCTCTGAACTCGGTACTGTGTCCAGCTGTCAGTAGATGCTGCAGCCAGAAAAAGAAAGGAACATGCCTTCTGGTTTTGGTAAACAAAACCAACGTGGTTCATGGTGCGCAGCCTCAGCTTGTGTGTGCGATGCTGTAGTAGGAAACCAGAAGCCCCAGATACCAACCAGCACCCCGCTATGAACAATGCAAAATGGAAAACTATCCTATTTCTTGGAGCATACAGTCTAAGATGGTAGCCGTCTGTTGACACAGAGAAGTGATTTGCCATGTAGATATCTGCCCACTCAGCTTGGGAAGCATTTTATCTGAGTGTCAGAAATCTTCAGGTAGGTTGGATGGTTGATTACTTTTTGTCTCCATCTTATAGGAAGCAGACATTGCAGTGGCTCCATTGACAGTCACGTCAGCAAGGGAAGAGGTGGTCTCCTTCACCACACCGTTCCTGCAGACTGGGATTGGAATCTTGCTTCGAAAAGACACTGTCTCTCAGGAGATGTCTTTCTTCCACTTCCTGGCTCCTTTCAGTAAGGAGACCTGGACTGGCCTTTTATTTGCTTATGTGCTGACGTGCTTCTGCCTCTTTCTTGTTGCCAGGTATAAATGAATTTGTTTCATGGATTTTGCTCAAGTCAACTGCTTTCTCAGCTATGAAGAGATCTCAGTTTTAAAGAAAGTACCAGGGTGCGTTTTGCGTTGAGGAACCTTCTACACAGGTCCAGAACCAGGGCTAATAAAGCTTAAGTCATGTCAGATTAAGACAGCATTAAGAGTAGGATCTTCCCACGAAGCGCACAATATCTCTTGATGTGGATTACTTAGGGTTGCTAAAAGGACTGTGTGTTTGTACTTCAGCTCTTTTTTTCCATTTTTATCAGTTTGTTTTGAACTACGACCACGTTCCTATGTGCAGGTCTCTCTCCTGGTGTATTTTCGTGCACTGTCCCCTGCACTGACTTGTGGAAGAGATTCTCTCTGCCACCACTCCACCCCCTTCCCAGGAGATTCAGCTTTCTCCCCCTTTCTTGATTAGGCTGCACTAAGGCTCTCTGCAGCTGCAGTCTTGAACAGAAGCTCCACTGCTGCTTTTCTAGTTTTATGCACAATCTTTACAGGTAAGGATTTGCTCCAAGGAGCAGCCTTCAGTCTGATACTGCAGAACAGAGCCAATATTGCCACTCAGGTGTGCCAGGGAGACTGGATTATGCCATGGCTCAGGAAGAAAGTGTCTGGCAAACCCATGTCAGGACCCCCTGAGCCATCACTGTTGCAAACTACTTGAGGCATTGAGCAGGAGTACTTTCCTCTGCACTGGTTAAACTGGAACTCAGGTGAAGGAGGAGCTACCGTGGAGGGAAAGGGCATTTCCAGGCTATCTGCACTGCTGCAGTCACACTGCAGGATTATTTAAATTTTTTTCCTCCTGAATGTCTGGTTTTATCCTGTCATTTTTCCACAGACTGAGCCCCTGTGAATGGAATGAGCCAAAGAACGAAGAGAACCACTTTACCTTCTTAAATAGCCTCTGGTTTGGAGCAGGAGCGCTTGCCCTGCAAGGTGAGCTGGGAGGACTGCAACGAAGGAGCTCTGGGAGCAGTGTGTTTTTTTAAGCTGATTGTGTATCCAGCTCCCATCTGTCTGTAACTCTGGTGTGCTATCCTGTTGAGGGGAAAAGATGTTCCAGCAGGGACACTTGGCAACACTAAAACCCCTGGTTTGGGGAGTTTTGATTACAGACTTGTCAGAATTGTACAGGTGGCTGACTTCAGTTGGGGAATGCGTATTTTTTGCTGTAACAACTGCCCTAGGGAGTGTCAACCATTGCACTGGTGCTTTGTAGAGCGGAGTGTTTTGTTGTTGGTTGTGGCCACTGATGTCGTGTCAACTCCGTGCTGCATGCAGTACTGATGCAGTTCAAACCAGCCGTAGCAGGTCTTCTCAGGCTTGTGCATTAAATAGCTGCAGGGCAAGTTTTGCAGTTTGGCAAAGCTGTTATTGCAGTTATTTAAAAGGAAGTCTTTAACTCGGGCTCATGGGTGTAAAGTTCTTCGGCTCTCTCTCACCGTATGTCACCTCCCACACGTTTTATCGGCTCCTCTGGTCGTGCAGGTGTCACCCCCCGGCCCAAAGCGCTCTCTGTGCGGGTCATCGCTGCCGTCTGGTGGCTGTTCACCATCGCCTTGCTGGCTGCCTACATCGCCAACTTCACCGCGCTGCTGAGCTCTGGCAGCGAGCAGCTCCCAATCCAGACTTTTGAAGATCTTGTGAAGCAAAGAAAGCTTGAGTTTGGGACACTGGATGGCTCCTCTACTTTCTACTTCTTCAAGGTGCAGAGAATCTACTTGTGCACATACACAGGTGCCGCAGAACTGCTAAGCTGGGGCCAAGGTGTCTAGTCACGCCTAATGGTCCTTACACCACCCTCATCACTGTAGATGCCATCAGTTTTCCTGTAATACTTCAAATATTGTGATTGGTATCTGTTTTGTTCATCTCTTCTACCTTTTCTCAGAGAGAAAAGCATGCAGAGGACTATATTTTTATAGTGTATTCTCTTTTAAGAAAGAGGTGCTAGTCTTCAGGGGTGTCCTGGTTTCGGCAGGGATAGAGTTAATTTCCTTCCTGTCCCTGCCGAAACCAGGACAAGGGGTTATCCTTGTGTACCTTGAACACAAGGACTGACGTAGGTAATGTCTGGATGCATTAACTGGATGCCTGCAAAGGTGGTTTTTGGGGGGGGTGGGAAATACTTAAGACTTGTATCCCTGTAACACTGTGCATTAGAGAGGAAATCTGTGCTAGCTCTATGCTAGTGTTCAGTACAGAGGGCTCAAAGGGCAATGGTTTAAGCACTCCTATTCTCCAAATTGTTTTGCAACCATTGCACATAGATGCAGATTTTTTTGGATGATTGTTTTACACTTCAGTTTGACACGTGGATTTTTGGGCTGCAGAACTCCAAGAATCCTATCCATCAGATGATATATGAATATATGGACAAGAGACGAGACCACGTTTTAGTCAAAACTTACCAGGAAGCAGTTCAACGTGTGATGGAATCAAACTACGCCTTCATCGGTGAATCAATCTCTCAAGACCTTGCAGCTGCCAGGCACTGCAATTTGATCAGGGCTCCTGAAGTTATCGGAGCCAGAGGATTTGGCATTGCCACTACCCAAGGTTAGTCATCGTGCACCACTTCTGTCCCACTTTTCCCCTTGGATTTCATGGGTCTGAAGTAGCAGATTGACAGAGCAAAAAGCCTGGCATAGCCAAGTCCTGAAACTTGCACACATTTTCTGCATTAACGCTAATAATCTGGTATGCACAAATTGGTAATCCTGCTATGCAACGTTTTCATTCTGTAGATGAATTATCACTAGCACTCACTGATTCTTACTCTGAACTGTAATGTGCAGAAAATTCCAACTCTCAGGGGTGTCATTGGTTTCCGTGGGTTTTTTTGGTTTTGTTTTGGTTTTGCCTCGGTCCCAGTAACGCAGAGCTCCTAATGCAGTTAGCAGGGTGGACAGTTTGTTCTCTCGTGGAGCATGACTGCTTGTATTTCTCAAAGTACCTTCACTCGGTCATTATTCTGCAAGTATTATCGTACCTCTATGGATAGGATAGGAATGGTTCTTATCTAAGAAAAGCACTTGGCTTAGTCTGTTGCATTCTGTTTGCAGAATGACCAGCTGACAGCTGGGAAGCAGCACCCGGCTAACCCCACTTGGTAGTATAGCAGCGGATTGCTTAAAAACATCACAGTGGCTGTGATCTCTCCCTTCTCTCTCTCTTTCTACTGCTGCCAGCATCCCTGTGGACTAAGAAGCTCTCCATTGCTGTCCTCAAGCTGCGTGAATCAGGTGATCTTGACTACTTGCGAAACAAGTGGTGGGAGACCAGTTGCCTTCACAAGAGTAGAGACAGATGGAGTCCGCTGCAGCCCCAGGCTCTGGGTGGGCTCTTCCTTACTCTTGCAATTGGCCTTGCACTGGGAGTGATTGCAGCTGTGGTGGAGCTGTCAAATAAGAGCAGACATGCTGCTGGACATGTAAAGGTAGGTGATGGGTGTCATCTCCTGTCCTGCCTCCCTGTATCCCTTCTGCTTAGCATGGACAAGCGAGGCACCAGTGCTCCGCTGTGTACAATGCTGGATTCCCGTAGTGATCTTGCTTTTAGGAAGGAAAGCAATGTGGTGTGGTGTGGTGAGGGGGGAAGACATGCTACGTATTTACTCTAAAGCTCTGAAATGGCATAGCTTGGGCTGCGTGATAGTTTTGTAGCCTGCACAGGGTAATGATAATAAAATATGCACCCTGCACCCAAATATTAAGTAGAAACATATACTGTAATTCCTAGGCAGCCAAACTGCATTGCAATGTGCTGAGTGTGCACAGAGGACAGTAAATCATCAATAACAAGTTTATTCCCAAGTATGGCTATTCTTAAGTCATTTGACAAGCAGGAAAACACATGTAAATGAAACTGCACTAGTATCTGAATGTGCACCTTGGTGTTCCTGTTCTCCATCCATTCCAACGGAGGGGTTGTGCACACTTAAAAGGTGGATTCTATGACACAACAACTCACCCCCTTGTTTCCTCCCCTTTTGTTTTTCAGAAATCTTGTTGCTCCGTTTTCACAGAAGAAATGTGCACTCGTCTACGTATAAAGGAAAACACAAGACAAAGCCAGGAGACTTCAGGGAGGGCTAACGCTTAAGAATTTTTTTGCCTAAGGAATGGGCATGTATTAGGTTTATATGGTATCTATGTCATAGGAACTACGTCACCGTAGACAGATGTTTTTCTGCGAGCCTAGCGTGTTAGTTTTCTAATTACAAACACACACAGAGCACTTCTGGATTGGTGGTGGAGCCGGGTACAGAAGAAAATTAAGAGGCTTGGAAGAATTTAAATTGATAAGGGATAGAGTGTAACTGTTAAAAATAAGGGAGGTTAACAACTTGGTAAAATAAAGTTGAGATGGCTGAGATGGTGGATCCGTATTTAGTTCAGAAGTTTACTATGTAAGTACATGAACGCCTGCAGGAGTAAGTGACTTGGGATCGGTTAATATGAAGCCTCTGCTTCCTAATCACAGTATGAGGTACGATCTTGAAAATTAAAGCTCTCATCCAACTGTTCTCATCAAGAACAGCTGCTTCTTAAACATTTTAGTTATCAGTAGACTGTACTCTTCCCCTCTCCTAAGCAGAAGATGCTGGTCACTGTGAAGGTCATTTCTGAATCAGAAACGACAGTACTGTTGCATAAACCCCAAAAATACAGGACTTCATTGCATTCTCTGCAGTGGCCTAAAACCCGAGAAGGGGAGACCATGCAATTAAGGAACTACTGAACTTAAGAAATGCAAGACACGGACTTGTCCTTTGTCATCTTCCCATCATAGGACAAGTTTCCCTGTTTAGCTGTCCTAGTTAACCTGATCAAGAATTATTTAGGAAGAAGATTGATAGTTGAAATCCAACAGTACTAGAGCATGAAGCTTGGTAATCAGTCAATTAAAACGAAGTACAAGTTCACCAGGCAAAGGTGAGGCAGGGAGTAATGGCTATTTTGCCTCATTCTCTTGCTCTCAAAGAAGAATCTGAAATTCATGGGGAATGTTCTCAGCTGCATATTAAGTAGTTTTCTAATTAAGCTGTTTTCATTTCAGAGCGGGAATGACTGATGCATGCACATGCTGGTTTGCAAATTCATGGTTAAATCACTCCATTTATGTACTGCACATCTGACAGAGGAAAAAAAAAAGCAAATTCAGTTACTTGGAAATGGCTTTAACTGCACTGCATGAACAAAGAGACTAATTCACATCAGTCCCAGCATTAAATAACGGAAGGCAACAGAAACTAACATGCCTGTGGCAGGAAAATAGCTGGGTGCTCCTGAATAAAGCATTACACGTTCGCTTTGAGGGTAACTTAGTGAGACTCAACTTCCAACTACTGCTAAGTAATTTAGTACAGGCGCAGAATTCCCCTCCCACCCAACGGTTAGCAAGAACAAAGAGTGAAAGCAATAGGAGTTACGAGTTCTTCCAACTGCTGGTAAACTAGTGCTGTTCAGTTATCTGCTACGCGCTCTCAGGTCATGACAGTTCTATTTTAAATACAGCTTAAGCAATGTTTGTTAGGTTAGAAGGTGGATCGGTCCTTCAATCAAATTAACCGCAAAGAGCATGAAACATTTTAGGTAAGCTTAAAAGCTGACATGGAAAACGCAATGTCAGATTCCCTCAGCACTTCAAAAACTATTTGGTATGTATGTGCCATGTCGTTGCTGGCAGAGTAGGCAGATATGTATAAAAAAAGGTTTCATTGACATTTAAATATATTTCTATATGAATGTCTCACAGAACAAAAAAATAAAGTCTTTTCATCACAAATACTGCAGCATTAAAATAAACACTTACCAAAATAAACAATGAGTGATATACATATATATATTTGAGTGTGTATACTATAGAGTGGATCATATTGTTGCTTTTTAAGTCACAAAAGCACAATATAAATACGGAATTTCCTGTGAACTCTTTTCCCTGTTGTAATAAAAATACATTCTTTACAGTTAAAGTAAAACTAGTGCAAGTCCATTCTGCTGCTCCTGTTCACCCAGTTGACCAGATCCACATCATTTACATGGCACTTCATACTTAAAAATGACACTGAAAATTTTCCCTCCGAGACGATCAGCAAGCCAGGAGTTTTTGATAACAGCAAGCTTGAGGCTCTCGCACTTCAGAGCCGCGTAGTAATTCGTGTGGATGGCACGGCCCATGCCTTCAATGATAACCAAGTCTGTCTTCCGCTCCCTGACCAGCACAGCCAAACCTTTATCCAGGCGGCTGAAACGAGAGGTCTGCTTTAGAAACAGTCATCCTTACACACGCTGCAGATGAAAGCCAGGCTGTGCTAAGGGCTTTATCATTTACATAAAACGTGGGTGGAACTACTGATGCCAATAAACAGGAATACTTTAAAGCAAAGAAAATGAGATTGAAACATAGTTTTAAAAGCTTCATTAAATGCATGCAGAATTGGGATTTCCCAGAAAACAGAGGTAAGTTCTGTCTTCAGTAGAGAAACTCATAAAAAATAAATAGGTTAACAACGTGAAATGCTTCTTATAGTCAAGTGGATTTCTTGGCCACAGGCAGGATTTGACATCATAACTAAGCTGCTCGTGAAACCGACAGTGGGTCATTGCTGAACACAGACGCGATAAATAAGATGTCCAACAACTACTGAGGCTTGATCAGTATTACAGGTCTGTAAATCCAGACTAAGCACCTCTTAACGGTTTTGCGGAAGTGATTCGTATCAGGAAAGGTGGCTGAGCTACTCCAGAGCCAAGTCCCTGAACGTCCTGCAGCTGATGGAGACAAGTAACAAATTGGTACTTTGCCAACGTACCTTAGATCTAGACACGGAGAACTCGAACCTGTCTGAACCAACAGCAGCTTCTCTTCCCTCAGTGCAGATCTTTATTCAAAAAAAAAAAAGGACAAAAATGTTAAACGGCCACCTCAACAGGGTCATGCAAGTCTGGTAATAAGCCAGACGACAATGAATATCCAAGTCTTCTTTGCAAAGGCTTCTTTTCCTGCTAGGACTTCACCAAGAAACATAATGTTTCCTTGAGCAAAAGGATTACTTAGTCAGCTCTGTGTCCTCTACCAGGGCTGCTCTATACGTGAAATAGATGTATTTTCCTCTATTCTTTTTAACATAGAAAATTTACGTTTTAGTAGCTCACATGCTTATCAGGGAAGACACAGACAAGAAATATAATTATGGATGTTCAAGAAAGATGTGATCTCTGAATTTTTCACCTTAATGAAAGTAAATGATCTGCCTTAGCTTACTTCCAGGTTGCAGATTTCAGATGCTAATAAACACGGTTAAACATGAACTAAGTATGTAACAAGGAACTTGCTTTGTCCTTCTGTGTACTGTACGATACATAATGAAGACTGGTTATATGCTTACTGAATAACCGGATCCATGGCTGCTATCCGTTCAGTAACAATCAGGGATTCGCTGTAGGTGACATCATTTAGGGCAGGGCCAGAGTTACAAGCCAATATAACCTGAGGTAAAGATGCCGGAAGAGTTCACCAATTAATGCAGTCACGTATGGTGTTAGAGCTGCTTGTTTGTTTAAAATCACCATTGCCTGACATTTTACAAAAGAGGAAGTGCGAAGAGAAAGGCTGGAGGCCCAGTCCTCATCCTCCCTCAGTTAACCGGCTATTTCACGTTGTCTGGCATTACAGACCCCCGTTCAGCAAACTTGGGTCTGGCAGAGGCTCGCTCTGCTTTGCTACCTTTCAGAGTCTACTTAAAGTTAGACTTTGGAGTTCCAGGGATTTGGATTGTTCCTGATTTAGCTGTTAGGAGCCAGTCTGGTAAAGGGTACTGCTGGTAGGTAGTTAACAAACCTTTCACCAATTACCAAAGCTCCATTACAGAGCAAATTCGCAATGAAAACCACTTACCTCTGTCCCTCTAGAAAGGAGCTCTCTGACAAAAGGAAAGACTCCTAAAATTATGTCTATTCCACTGTTATCTGCGAAAATTAAGGCACATTTATGAGGGGGACCCTCCTGTAAGACAAAACCAATGTATTCAGGATTGAGTTCACTTGAATTCATTTCCGTGAATAGTTTCTGTTATTTAGAACTACTCACTTTAAGACTCCACATTTTATGCCCTTAAGCGACTGGCAGCTTTGGTTATCTAGCAGCAGCGTAACTCATCAGAACATCACCTACCCTCGATCTTGGGAGAAATCGGTTTCCCTAACATTGTCTTTGCACAGTGCCGTTAGTTACGTTACTTTGTTTGAGAGAGGTCGTTCAAACGCCAGCAGTAAAACCTACACCTGCCAATTGCAGACCTGCCTAACTCCAGCAGCTCTGAACAGGGCCGTACTTCAGAGGCTTCGGAACAGTGGGTAGCCAGGCCTGTAACCCTACTGTTTGGAGGCCAGGTTATGGCTAGCGTTTTGTTACGCCACGCAGCTGGAGAATACCATTCTCTAAAACAGAAGCAGCAGCATGGGCAGCTGCCTACGTGAACGCGCTGGTTACCAGGGTAAACCTACCTTTGTGGCTGTTTTAAGCTAGCATGCTGTAGGGTGAACAGGATTCCCTTCTGCCAGGAAAGGGCAGGATGGACTGCTGGGGGCAGTGACATCCTAAAATGAAAAGATATTTCCTATTCTCCATTAACCTTTTAATTTGTTCTAAAGCTGACGTTAGGAAACTTAGTTCACGCCAGTTCGTACCAGCAGAAAAATTTTTATAGTGAACAATGGTTAATTCCTAATAAAAAATTGTCAGGACAGTGGTTGAAGTTCCTTAATTATCACTGTTATACAAGATTAGCCAATACTTTTGTTCTAAGATGTAATACGCAATGATTTGTAACAGTTTACTCATACCAAACCTTGGCTATCATTTCCAACGTAGAGATTTACACAAAGGAACAAAAGCTTTTCAATTAACCTTAATTAAATAGTAATAGAGATCACACAGGGCAAAAAAAGCTTTGCTAATTGATAGGTTAATTACTTTCAGCAAGTTCCTAAATTAATGTGGGTTTTAGATTGGTTACTCAGATGGGAGGAACAATCCAAGCATTACATTTGGACCCAAGTTTTCTAAATTACTGGTCTAGTTGTATGGAAACAAGTGCCCTGATAAAGAAGGGACACAATATGGTCACTTTGGAAAAGCTTTGAAAGCAGCTGGGTTCCAAATGCTGCAGTTTCTGAACGAATTCAGCGAAGCACCTTGGTAAGTAATGATGTGTCAGACTAATTCCTTCTATTCCTTTACGGTAAGGCTGCTGAATTACTGGTACTGTGGTATCAGAGTTTATTTTGAGTTGTCTGAACAAGGTTCTGTTAAATCCGTTAAAAAACCAAGATTAATAAGGTGATTTTATGATTAACGTATTTAACTGCTCAACGGTTAGTAACAATCGTGGAGTCGTACCTTCAGTCGCTCTAGCCACTGACTGTAGGAATCTTCTAACCAGGGACGTTCTGTACCACACACAAAATCATGTTAGCATTTCTTTTAGGCAAACAGTGATTCTGTACATTATGAAAAGCAGGAGGTGTCTCTTTACAGATGCTTCAGGACTAAAGCATTTGAGCTCAGGTTTTGAATGTTAAACGTATCAATTCAAAGAGTTCCTGAGCTTTTAATTATGGGAATAGCTCAATTACAGCAGTCTTGAAATGGAATTTTCATAATAAAGCAATGGAATCACGGAAGTTGGCTATCGTAACGACTCATCCTAGGATGGATGGTGTTGTACGTCCCGGGACACTATCTCCTTGGCAGGATTAGAACAGTTATGAAAAACAGCATAGGCAAGATACTCTGAATATCTGTGCAGCTAAGACTTCTGTTCAAGGAGAGAGGTTTTCAGATTTCAATTCCTTTGGAACACAAACAGGAACATTCCAAGAAACTCTGTAGCCTGTATTTCAGCTAACCCTAGCAATTACTAATGATTTCTTGTCATCTGGGCAGCAGAACTGCCACAACAAACATGTTCACACTCTTCTCCACTCTCATATTAACACAATATCCAGTTCCAACCACCACCACCGATCTCCCTGTACCTTGTAGCTTTGACTTGGCTTCTTCAAATCCAAATTGTGGCTCAGATTCCAGAACACTGTATCAGAAGAGAAATAAAGGGTACACAGTTAAGCAACTTCATCTCGCATAAATATAATTCAAACATTTCTTTAGCAGGTGGTCAGCAATTTTATTGCATCGGTTATAATGGGGAGCGTGGACAGGTCCAATGACTGAGAAACAGATACTCAGTGCTTATGTTACAAACAAAAAGCTCAGATGTACATTAAATTAGCGTTCTAATGCTAAAAGAAAAAGGCTTCAGCAATATACAAACGTTTGCAGGCACTAGACTACAGGCAAAAAAGACATCCTTTGGTCTGCAGACCACCATAAAACAGCCATGATCTAAAATATCTGCATGGTAAAACAGTGCTTTACAAAGTCTAATTTGAAGATTGGTCTACAAAGTTTTTTAAAGTTGTACCTGCGTGGGGAAAAAAGGAATTAAAACCTACTGCTATTGGCTATATGTATAGTAAAGCAGCCCCAAACACTCCGGTGGTGATGAGGATTTACGTAATGAGATGGCTAGATTCTAAGCTGTCGGTTAAAATATGACACCACGTGGGGAACACTTGCCAGTCAAGTCTCCTAAAGCTCCTTAAGTCTAGTACTAAGTGACATTTAACTCGGTCTGTGTCTCTTAGTTCCCTCCTTAAAGAGAATGAGAATGAGAGCTACGCTAACACGAGTGGCAAGTAGACTAACTGCTCTAACTGGTGTCAGTTCACGTTTCTGGTTGTGGGCAATGTCAGAAGTAATGCAAGACTAAGAACGCCCACGTAGCCTTGAATCACCTTGTTTTTAATGGACTTTTCTTGGTTTAATCAGAGGGAAAACTCCTCAAAGATGCAGGAAGGGAAAGGAAGTGCTGAATGTCAGCTGTAAAACACTGTCCCTCTCCCATGCTCTTGGATCTATATTATCAGCCCCACAAAAAAAGTTCTAGAATTGAAAAATCAGAAATATTTCAAGGCTGTTGGCATTAATATCCTCAAATGAATTCATGGCTGCTGACAGGATATAAGGAAAAAAGCTCTCCAGATAGTAATAGAAATGTATGTTGATCAAAAATAATTAGTATTTAGTCATCAAAAGAGACCACCCAACTTAACTTAGAGCCCACGGAATATATCCCGTGATATCAGGACAACTGGAGGTTGCAGGGAAATAGCTTATTTTCTGTTCTAGGAGCATGGTACAACAGGTACCCAAAAGCAGTGCTAATAACAATGCTACAAGCAAAGCAGCCAGACCAGAGTATTAAATGCTCTATCACTTAATCCAAACATTCACAGCAACACGTCTGCCAGATTTACAGGGTGGAAATGTAAACTTCCCCGCACCACAACAACGCTTGTAAATAAAGAACCAACATTTGATCAAGGTGAAATACAAACTACAATTAAAGTTAGATGGGTGCACTTTATTTTCTTTAAAAAAAGAACAATTGGATATTCTGTATCTTAAAAGGGTGCTTTTAAAATATTTAACACCTACTCTGAGACTGCCTTTGCTCCCCAGTCAAAGACATTCCCCGCAAGAAGTCCTTTCACCAGAGCAAACTGCCTCTCCTCCCAGCCTAATGAATCCAAAGATTCGATTACGCTTTGAAAACATTTTAAGGCTATGCCATTCTCTTTCTGCTTTACCTGTAAGAAAAACATGAAACATTGGATTTATAGACAAAAATTTCTTACCCATCATTGGTTGTCTCAGTCCCAAGACCACGTTCAAGCATTCTCCTCTACGTTCATGGCCTCTAATGGACCAACAAGTTACTGTTATCAGCATGCTTAGTATCAACAAGAAAAAAGTTTCCTGGGATTCTAATGAAAAGCTTCTTTAGTGCTAGGACATGATCTGTAGCCCAAGAATTACTTTTCGTAACAGGTTAGAGGTGCAATAGATCTCGAGCAGATTGGGGAATGGGAAAGTGGACACACAAAAAAAATGTTAGTAGTAACACGATCCATCAAACCCAGGTAATCACCATGCGAAGGCTTACCACTGGCAGTTTTACAAAAACTGGGGAAGACTTTTTTTGATTTTTGCATCAAGAGTTTCATCATCCCAGATGCTTAGAAGCTCTTGAATTTTTACTCTGCTTCTATCTCCAGCGAGATCAGTGTTACATAGCTAGTTATCTTAAAAAATCTAAAAGTGATACTGGGTTCCATCTCTACATCAGGATCTTTTCTTGGCAATATCTTGTCTGAATTACCAAAAAGCAAACATAAGTAAAAGCCACCTCACTTTGGTGGTGGTATTTTTTACCTCTTTCTTAGAGTGAATGTAACATCTGACCATACAGCTAGGGACAACCTTCTATGTATTTTGCAGAAATATAGCAACAGTCAGAAAAAAGTCTCTAACCAGACACTGGCACTGTTATTATTGGTATGTCCACGCAGACAAGCTGAGAGGATCAGACCTACAGAAAGTTATTTTTGAGAAATACTGACTTCACATGTCCTCTCCCCCAACCACATTATGTTACAGAATGAAACACGAAGAGTAAACAGCTGCACAACAGCAACAAATATTTTTAAGAGCTAGAGGTTACGCATTTGTATACACTTCAACCCAACTCTGCTGAGTATCTCAAGAATTACAAAAGTAATCAAGAATCCTTTACAATCCGAATTGTAGGAAAGCAGCACAGTTTGGTTTAAGGACAGATTGCCTCAGCAAGTAAGGGAATGTGTGAAGGTCTTTTTTTTTCCCCCAGGCCTTTTTTGGACATGACGAGGTGGGGGAGGATGACTATCTACTTATGAACACACACACCCCCCTTCCTTTTCCTTCCTCTGCGGGGGGGTGCCGAGGAAAGAAAAGATAACACGCTTGAAGGTGGTTAAAGGAACACGGAAATGTGAGTTCATAGCACTGGTGACTTTTGCATGGAGCTGCTGAGATTGTTAACTGCTCTACAAGATAACGATGCCAAGTGTCTTTTACAACTGTCTGCAATTTACGTATTTATTGGAAAGTACTTACATAGCTACACATAGCTTTAGATTTGAAAATGGTTTCCACACCATGAAGAGAATTATGAGAATGAGGAGAAAAAAAGAAAAATTCCTGAAGTCTGCCAGACTGTAGTAGTAGCCTCAGTATAAAGAGAAATAAACTGACTGTCCTCAAAATTGAAATTCTCAGGTCACTTGTGAGGTACTCCATCATCAAGAGCGCAGGCTTCCTCAGTTCTGAACTGAAGGGAACACCTCCTCACTGAAGGAGCAAGTTACAATAGTCTCTGATGACAGACACCATGCACTCATCAGGAACAGGACTGATGCCATCAATTTGCTTCTCAGGTGTATCAGACAACTGAAGCTGGTCGTATTTTTGGTTAGCATTATCCTCACCATGAGCACGTTAGAGGTCAAAGGCTTTATATCCCATTACCCATTGCTGTTTCTCCTCAGTGACAACCACCAACTGGTTAGAACTGCTGCAAGGCAGCCAGTTACTAACCTCTCCCCTATAAGCCATTACTTAAAGTTTCAGAGTACGGAAGAAGTGTCTTGAACTTACATGTTGTCCACCCTGTAAAGAAAAAACAACTTACCTTTGAATAGGGATCCGGAAAATTGAACTCGTTTAAACAGTGTTCCCTTGTATCCAAAAGACTTCTAACTGTTAAGGTACCATATGCACTTTAAAAAGGGAGAAGGGGGGGGAAAAAAGAGATAGAATCATAGAATCGTTTAGGTTGGAAAAGACCTTTAAGATCATCAAGTCCAACCGTTATCCTAGCACTGCCAAGTCCACTACAAGATCAACTACTTCAAACAGAAAAAAGTTATTTTCTCCTCTGTTTCCTCCATAAGTCATAGCACGTCACACAAGCACTTAAGCTAAAAGTCTTTACATGCCACGTGCTAAACGCCGTCTCTAAGTGGTAAATCTACTATACAGTTTCTTTAAATACAGAGAGGGAAAATGTTCAGAGCAAAGCTAGATACTTGAATTAACATGCTACCATTTGTAATAACCATGTAACAATTTTTAATAATAAACTTTCTGCCAAGAAAAATTTTTCCGTTAAATTCCAATATATGAGATCCAAAAGTTCTGTGCAGAGGACCTGACGTTTGGCACATCGACGTGCTATAGCCTTCAGCCTACTTAGCTTTCAGTTTGCTCTGCTTCATAACCTAATTAGCTTTTATTTAGCTTTTAGGTAGTTTTTAGTTAGCTTTTAATTTGCTCTGCTCAACAGAAGCAGCAAGTGATGAAAAAGGGAAAATAAAGACACTTACAAAGGCTGCTGCCTGAGTGTCTGGAGCTTATTCCAGTATTTCTGTCGGAACTTTTCAGCTCTCTCCAGTGCATCAATAGAGTCTGGTTGACTGGCTGCAGCACGCTTTGCCACCTGGTAGAGAAATGAGGCAAGACTGAAGTTACCAAATGAATCCTTCCTCCATGTAACTGATCTGAAGTTCAGTCTGAAAAATAACCCCTCCATCTGCTATACTTGTTCCATGCCTGCATACTATCTAGTCCCTCCCACACGGTATCTTCCAGCTTTCCTTTACTCCAATCACCAAAGAGTAATTTTAAATACCTCCTTTCTTCCTGAAAGTTTTAAAGTTTATTTTCAAGACTGTACTTTCAGAAATTAAACACAAGTTCTAACTACTTATAGGAGGGGACAAAATAACAAACGTGCGCACACACACAAAAGGAGAAACAGGCAGAAATTTAACAGTCCACATCAACCCCTTGTGTTCTTTTTCTCTTTACCACAGTAAGGTCAAGTCAATGTGTGGCCCCTGTGTTTTTCCCAGCCCTTTTCCTCCTGACACACACATGAAGTTTCTGATTCAGATTTGCTTACTAAGTATACATAGCTCTTAAGTACTAGCACGCACTGACTGAATCGGTTTCACAGTGCAGAAAAAATAACTCTTGTCTGATTAAATCATGCTCTTCGAATGCAGAAGTGGCTGTAAGTCAGTGGGACTGCTCCCAAGAGTAAGAACAATGCAAGTATCTTTGGCCTTCGCCTTTCTGGCCTTTGATTGTATAACCATCCTGCTTGCCAGCTCTGTATAAAGAGGAGGTAAGTGCCATTTAAGAGAGAAGATGCTTTGAAAACACCTTAAAAACAAAACAAAAAAAAAGAAACAAAATACCACAAGAGAAGAACACTTCTGCCTTCGAAGGTATCAAGCGCTTCCTTAGGAGACTGGGACAAAGTCAAATCCCTCTGTTAGCAGGGGAAAGAGGAACTGTACTTACACACAATAGGTTTGACACAGCAGATATATTTTGCAGGGTAAACACGTTGGTCCACAGACGATTTATTTGCTAAATATTTGCATCATTCATACATATGACTGTTTTGTGACATTTACCCCATCCAGTGCCTCCTCAAAGCAGGTGAGCCAGTATTTTCTGGCCATGGCATCATCTGTGAGGTCAACAGTGTCTGGAATATAGGTTGATGGGTCTTTCAGCAGTGGCAGGTTAACAAGCGGTCTCTCCAACCTATCCATTTCAAGCATGTCAAACTAGGTGAAAAATGAAAGCGGTTTATTAGAACTTACTCAGAAATTGATTCATAACAAATTAAACTAGTACAAGGGCTACAGAAGTCCATCCACAGTTAAGACTGACAAATCTGCCGACAGCTCTAATAGAGTACATGCCATCATAAATAATCCACTCTCCTGCATGGATTATGCCCACCCTATAGATAGAGATTATCAAGTTTCATGCTGAAAACTTACTATAGGTCCTCTATTTTATTATTTTCCTTCCCTTCCTCCCCAGTACCATCAAATCTGCTGGGCTATCAGGTTCAAAGACAAGAGCACGAAGAGCTGAGCACAGGCTTATTTGTAAAGGAAGGTTGCTATGCTGCTTTACAGCTTCCTTTTACAATCCTGATCGAGTCTCCAAAACTTTTCCTTGCACCTTGTGAAAACAACGCTTGGGACCAAATTTCTAAGGATAGAGATTAAATTCATGTGAAATATGTATAGTTACGCAGCTCTGTACATAAAGCGTGCCTTATTTCTTGCGTCTAAAAAAACCTGTGCACATACATCTTTTTTTTATACAACTATCTAATCGCATTGCATCTGTGAACACTGCATGGCCTAGAAATGTTCAGACTAAGTGAAGATTAAGCCCACAATGTAGTAAGACTTTGTGTACATAAACCAAAGTGGTTGCTAGAGAAAGATTGTCTTCAGTATTAAGTTCCCTGCTGAAAAGTGGACATTTCTGAACTATGATTGCTGCAAGGAGATTTCACTTTATGTTAACAAAGTGACTGCCAAGCAATAGAAGAATTCAAAATGGAGAAACTGTGGACAGTACATTACAGCTGGTTTGAGACTCCTGTACCACTGCCAGCATGAAAAAAAAAAATCTTTTCACAGATTAAAGGGTTGACAAACAACAGGCGATCATTACATCTGCATAAATACTTTTTAAAATCTGTCATATATTTTATGGTTAAGAAGGATCATGTTATTTTTTTTTTTTTTGGTCATACTTGTAATCCACAATTTCATTACAATAATTTCAGTCATGGCAGAGCTTAAAATTAGATATATTTTTTATATATAGGCACAACCCACAAATCCATCATCTGCAGCTCATACTGGACTTATATTAAGGCTTGGTCTGGGAAACCAGTCTAGTAAGAGTTCTGCACCTCATCTTCAAGCGTAAAAAGGTCTAGCAACCACCAGGAAACAACTAACCAAAGCCAACACCTGCTCCTCCCCCCACACACCCTATAGCAAGTAAGGAAACTAATTCCTGAAAACTGGGAGGAGATAAATCAAAGATGGAGGAAATTTAAAAAAAAATGACATGAAAAACACTGACATGCGAACCGGTAAAAGACAGCAAAACACAATGAGCTCCACTATTCTAGCTTCTTTTCAAAAGCACTTCAGTAGATGCAATATTAGAATATTTTAAGAACCTTAATGTATTTTCTGATTGCTTACTGTATGCCAGTTTCACTGTGAAATCGGAATTACTGTATTGTCAGTGTATTTAAAAGATGACTGGGCTCATGCTCTTCTGTCCAATTATATATTTCTCTTCTCATAGGAAGTAAATAAACGCTGCTTAAAGACAGTGGAACATCAGATTCAAAATTCTGACGCACAGTATTTCAACTGTAGCAAAATCCAGCTACTTCAGAGAAAGGGTAAGAGATAAATGTTCCCCCCCCGCTTTGGTGAAGGAGACTAAGACAAAGTAGCAGCCACAATCTGTTTTTATGAGACATTACACCAAACCATCACACACGACAAGACACCATCACACACGACACAAGACACCATATTAGTCACTTCTTTTGATAAGCAGGAGTCCCAGGGGCAAGAAGCAACTAGCTTGAGAATAATTATCTATTTTCAGATCACCATTACTAAGAGAAGGTACTTAGTTCTAGAAAAGACAACCACATACTGTACCACTCCTTGTTCTCTGCATAGGGTAAACATCAGGTGATGTGCTCATAAGACCAGAACTCCCAGCATAATTCTCTCCCCAGCTATACTGATTTGGATCTAGAAGAGAGAAAGACAGAGACACACATAATCTGAAAATAAAACTGAAAATACTCCCATGAGCGAGTCTAGAGTTAGCATCCCTTCAGAGAAGCTGCTTCACTACAAAAGCCATCTTCCCTCATCTTTATAAGTAAACATAATTTTTCCCTCTAACCCCCAAAAGAAATGTTTCAGCCACTCAGTGAATTACCTAGCTCTAAAGAGCTTCAACCTGAATGAGACATAAGACAATTAAAGTTCTAAAATCATTCTTTTTCTAACCCCCTTTCCTTGTCATTAAGGGCTATAACCAGCGTGCCATCAAAGCACTATCACTGATCATAGAGATAATTGATTTCTAAATCTAGATCCATTATTAACAACATATAATTACAAAACTCTCAAAGCACAATGTAAGTTTCATATAAACACTAAAGTTACTTCTAGAATTTTTTTTTTTGTTTGAGAAAAAGTTTAATCAAGTTCAGATGTACAGTACATGCTGCAGAAGCAACGTCTTTAATTCCTCAGTAGCTGGTTCCTTGCCCTTATCTATAAAATGGGTATGAAAAGAATTCCACATCCATTATTCTGAGGTATACTTGATATTTACTAAAACTACGTACCATTAACAACCTTACTATCTGTTCCACTATAACGAATATACTAAATGGCTTGCTAGTACATCAACAAGAAAAAAAGAAAATAAAAATGGCAGAATTCAGCCAAAGCACCCTATACCCAAAGAATGCTGGACAGAAGTGTCTCATCCTTCATAAATGTCTGTGAGGCTTTTCACTGTCAAATGAACACAGTTTTGAGATGCTGGTTGTCTTCAGTACATTAACTGAATTCAGAAGCTGGCCTCTTAAAGAGGGGGAAAGTTCTCAGGAACCACATTTCCCCAGTTTGATTTAGTTATAACTGCTCTTTGCAGAAATGCAGAAACAAGAAGAGCCAAATCCTGCTGGCTTCTAAAAGATGAGCAGGAAAAACAGTGAGAAATTAAGATGTCCCTGCCAGAATATATAAAATCAAAGCCCAGCATCTGTGTTTATTAGTGCCAAATGTATTTAATTTAGGCAACGACTTACATGCAGCCTCTTAAGAGAAACTTGGACATTACACTGACATTTCAGAACACAGCATATACAGAACATAGCAGTGCTGTACTTACTGTCTTGTTCAGCTCCTTTTAAAAATGCCCCAATGGCTCCCAGGTAGCCTTCATGTCTCAGGAACAATGCCTGAACCTCTCCCTGCCACAATATGAAACATTGCAATTGGATGGTCCCTGATGGCTAATATGTACTTCTTTGTCACTAGTTTTACACTTAAATTTAATAGAAACAACTAGAAGATGGTAATATTCATTTGTGTTACATTCTAACACATTCAGTAACTTTAACGGTGCTTCTGAAACAGCTTCAGGAGGAACTGCTTACATATATCATTCCACAATCATTAAACAGCCAGGGAAAAAAAATACATGCAGAAGTGGTGCGTATTCTAAGCCTGCACAACCACAGAAGCAGAGGGAAGCCAGTGCCTTCACTAGAAAAGACCACTGCACCATTGCACGAATATTCAACTCCTCTTGCTTGAACAGGCAGAAATGCAAGGTCACCTGATTCCTAGGTCATCAACGTAAGTGTGTGCCACTGTGCATCCAACCCATTCAAGACATTGCTCATTATTTCATTACACTGCTATTTACCATTCAACAACATACAGACACTCTGTATATTCTCCATAGGCAAGCATTTCCCCCATCAAATGAATTAGTTTAATTGTTAATATAATACACAAATGCTAGGGAGAATAAGAACACCCTCCAACCAAGCAGCAGGGTCCCTTAGCTTTCCTAGGCAAGGAAAGCCTTCTCTAAAGGAACATCAGCTACGTCTGCAGCAGCGACTGTAAGAAAAGTTAACACTGAGGTAAGCTATAGTAAAAGATCAGCTACAATTCACAGCGAGGTTTGAATTTGAATCACTCATAAAGCTATTCTTACAAGAATCTAAAGCTGTAGTTTTGCAATAGTTTTCTTGAAACCCAACAAAGTTTTACAGAAAGGGACTGCAATGGTAATAAAGGGGAAAAAAAAAAGCAGCATACAGGAGTCCCTTGCCTGAAGCACTGAGATGAGAAAAAAACCCCATTGTGTCATTTATTCTATAAAATTGCAAAAGTGCAGGAACTAATCTATCTGCAACAACCATTAAGTGAGCTTTTGGACTTGACCATTTTTCTAGTGAAAAATCTTCAGTATTTTCCACGGCTTCAAAACCTGCAAAGAACTACAGCTTGGTTGTTTTTTTGGGTGGGGTTTTTTTTTTTTTGAACAAACAAACAACAAAAAACCCCACTGATACTAATTGCTAACTATCTCAGCAGAACAATCCCACATTGCATAGCCTAGGGGATGAAAAGAAATAGATGCAAGTCAGCAAGAGGAATTGAATAACAATGGTAGCTATCTAAGAAAATAGTGAAAACCCATTACTTGGCAGCTACAAGACAGGCTGTCAATCAAAAAATAGTAATAAAGAGAGAGAGGGAGGGAGGGAGAAAGAGAGCCAGACAGAACTCCCAGGCAATTCACATTTATTCTACCCCTCCCACAATAGATCTTTATAGCCCTGCCTTACCTACCTACCCAGCAGCCCTCTAAGCTTACTTCATGTGCAAATTCATTTATTAAAGTCTCCCAACAACCTAGAAAGATAACTAAACACGTGACTTTGCTATTAGGAAAATCTCTGTTTTCATTACCTTGGAGAAGAAGTTGATACTGTAGGTTATTGTGCGCATGGTAACAGGGTGACCCCGAATAAAGAATCCTCCAAAATATATTTTATCTAAGTTATGGAGTTTGGCATAGAGGCAGGCGAGTTGACCAATGTCATTGCTGATCATATGCAGTAAACTTTTTGCCATATCTTCTTTGGAAAATTCTTAAAGGAAAGAAATAGTAAACCAAGTTAAACACAGCTGAAGAGTGCTCAAATGGACTGTACTTTTCTAACAGATAGCCTACAGCTGGAGAAAAAAAGAGAAAAAAAAAGGAGTTTGACCAGTCTCTTTATGTGTGTAGAAGAAAGGTGTTCCCCCCCACCAAAAATATTTTATTAAAGAAGTACTTCAAACAAGAAGGAGTGTGTATTTGACTGAAAAAAACACTAAGCCTCTGTGAAATATTGCTTGAAAGAAACCTGCTTGAAAGGCCAACAGCAAATGGCAAGAACTCCATTTCTCCTCTCTAGGAACCACGGATGATGGTTCATCCATCCATCTTGACCTGAGATGCACTGCAAGCATTTTATTGTAATACTGCAAATAAAATTGCAAATTATAGTAAATCACTGCCATAGTTCCTTTTCTGGACCAAGCAAGCCACATATATTTCCCACATGAATGAATTAACGTTGGGCTAACTAGACAGCTATTTTTGTCGTTTGCCTAAGCTTATGCAATTCCAAACTGAAAATTCAAATGCCTGCTTGTAAGGCAGTACTATATAATATTTTTAATCAATAAAATATTGGGCAGGCAAAACACATGTAGGCAAGATCATGAAAAGGACTGGTGGTTATTTTCCAGCTCTACTTGTTAGATCATTATAAACATCAGATTCCCAAGGGCCAGAGGAGATGGTTGCACCACTTCTCATTAGTTTCAAACAACTCCACATAACTGGAGCAACTCAAGCAGTGCTCCATGTCCCCTCTCAGCCCAGCATGCATAACACAGGGAAACGGACAAGACAAGATATGTTTATGCTGATGAAGCTGGCAACTATTCTTCCATCCATTTAAGCGTTCACAGGAAGCTGGCACAAGCAGCAAATCCGTGCTGACAGGCAATATAAAGTATTAACTGTATAGCAAATCTTGGGTAGATCTTTTATATACCAATACCTTTATCTGCTGTAGTAGATTTCCCGAAGCTGCTAGCTATCAGATTTCCACTTAGCCCCAGGGTCTGGTAGGCGCCTCCATACACATCTTTCACCAGCATGTCTACATTTGTGTGCTGTCCCTTTGAAGCGAGTTGCAGCAATTCATCAAACTTCTGAGGATGAGAAGCAGAGTTACCCTAGCTTCCCTGCACAGCCAGAGAACCTTGCCCATAAACCCAGAGTTCTGCAGCATCTTTACTGACCAAAACCGGGGGTTTGGCTTGTGTTAGAATCAACCCTGCCAGCAAAAGATACATTATTTCTAATTACAAGGACTTATCCAGAGTCCGTATCTTATCAGACAGACTGATCTTAAGTGGAGCTCCTTTAATGATGAAAAGCGTAACTGTCCTCCAGTTATCAGCAGTTACCTGCAAATAATTTGCTGAATTTCCCCTGAAAACTAGAGATGGATCAGCACATATAAAATAGTCAGAAGCCTCATAGCATCTCTTATCTTGGAATGAAGTCAGAAACACAGTAACTAAGAGCAAAGAGAATTATGTCTTCTTCAGGCATAAGAAAAAAAATATTTAAAAACCAAAAGACTAAGTCTGCCTTCACTGCTGCAGAAATGCATTAATGTCCCTGAAATTAAACTTGCACGCAATCTGCATTATACCAATACTTAATTTATAAGTGTGTTAACCCTAATTTCTTCTTCTACAAAATCAGAGAGAATTAAAAGCAGACATTGTCATGTTCTAAGATTTCTTTTTTAAAAGCATCAAACAAAATATTGCAAGTATGGGTCTTCCCTTTGACATTTTCTTATTTGGTGCATATGTAACTCTAGCTTTTTCTATACCACTGACATTTAGGGACACCTATTTAAGCCACATGGATCTTTGAGACAGGAAAAAACAGCATGATTTAAGAGCTGAGTTAGGCAGAGCAATACTAAATCAGGCCTTATTCTGGCAGATTACCAACCTGAGATTTAAGTGACGAACCCCTGAAACCGTAATGTGTAACAAAGAGAGATAGAATTCCTCCTCTCTACTCCCAGACATTTTGCAGTAATTGGGTGCTCTCTGCTTTGCTTCTGCAGATAATATTGCAGGAACTAGGCAGGCATTTCATGTTGACAAAGAGAACAGAAAATTAACAGGCCACATTGAGGAGGCTATTCTCTGCATTACAGACATTATTTGTCCTTGTTGACAAACTCCTTGAGTCCCAAGTACAATTACTATTTTGCCACCGATGAGCATCTTATAATTTTTGTCCTCATATTCTACCAGTATCTTTGCATTTAAAGCTTCATTTTATGCATCAGAAGCATCGAAAATATGAACATAAATCAAGGACTCAGCCTTGTTATCTAACAGTCTAGGACCACAAGCACCTAACGGAGAGTATTAAAATTGTCCTGAGCATTGCAGAACTGCCTGTTCTGTTTCTGCACAAGGTCAGCAATTCTTTGAATAAAAGGTAAACCGCCCCAAGAGACAGACATGATTTTTCATCTTCTAGTACACTAATGCTGGACTTCTGTTTCCCATACAAACATTACTTAAAACAATTATTTCTCCCCATTCAAAGAGTTTGGCATTCCAACATTTCAAGCTTCCTCTTAGCATCTCATTTAATCTCACACCTCTTAAAACTGACACTTCAATACCTTTGTTTTTGTGAGCAGTGCTCCAAGACCCCAGAAGGTTCCACCTCCAATTGAGCTCCCTCCAATCCACTCAAATTTGTCTTCTGTTTCTACCTGTCAATAAAACAAGGCAGATTTGTCTAGAAAGTCCTACTGTAACTATAAACACACAGTTAGATATGAGAGCGTGTGGGTTTCTTTGAACAGTGGAATTAGTGTAGGCGGAACTATTTAATTGTGTAAATATCAGGTGAGAAGTTCTCCAGAGCTACATGTTCCACATACTTATACTACAAGCAGCTTCTGAAATCTTTGTATTTAATACTTGGTCAATAATCCTAAATATAGACATTAAATTTGGTCCCCTTGACAGTGTACCCAAACAAACAAACAAAATATTAAAAATCACTCTGATCTGACAGCCTATGTCCTCGTCAGTTACTATAACAACTTCTCTGAACAGCGAATTAAATGTGATTAAAAAGAAACTATGGTAGTGAACGGAAAAGCATTCATAACTCCATAAGAAATGGAAATTAAAAAAAAAAAATATCACTATTTTCTTTCTAAACTTGGTATTACCCAAGAAGAAACAACTACAGGTCTAAACCAGTAAGACGTTTCAGATCACCTTTATCAAATTCTACAGTAAAACGTTTTAGCAACCACTCACCTTCACTATAGAAACCCCAGAGCCAATATTCACCAGTAAATACGGGAAAATATTCGGGTGGTTCGTCTGAAATCGGAATTCTGTATCTGAATCCTTCTGGTATGCAAACACTTCATGGGGTATGTTCCTTAGCACGAAGTTGCATCCTTTAATTAGGCAGGTCATTACATCTTCTTTATCTACTCTGAGGGGAAGGGGGAAGGAAAAAACCCCTTACATAAATTTCATAGTCCTATTGATAAGCAAGTATGTTTTTAGAACAGTAGTTTTACAAACAGGGGATAGTAACCCACATCACATGGCAAAAGTCCAGATCTCTTAAAACATGAAACCTACATCTGCATATGTTCTGATGCTCATCTTCCATGCCAGAACACACCGTCTGAAGTTAGACTGTAGTTACACAGTAACTTCAATCTTACATTAATCGTGCTGTCATTAAAAATAATCCTGCTCCCCCGTTTGCTTGTTTACACTGCCTCCTTAGTGCCCTAGTGCTAGCACAAGTATATGTGCACTCGTGTAATAAAGTAGGTCAGGAAACTTATCTGGAAATCAGCTTAACAAAACTATTTACTAACAGGGAATAATTTTCTATTGCTCTTACCTTTCCTTCCCAATCAAGGAAAAAAGGTCCCCCTCAACATTTCAGCACTTGTTTATGACAGATTAAAGTGACTGCAAGGAGCCTACTACTGGGATTACCAAACACAGGAGAAAAAGACTTCTCACAAGAATAATAGGATCACAACAGTATATATCCTGAGTATGGAGTCTAGGAACATGATACATAATATAGATATGATGAATGATGTAGTTAAGTCAGCTAACGCTTACTGACTTCTGTGAACTTCTGTATCTTATGTATTGTTACTGATTTATGGTAAATTTCTTAAATGAAATATGCTAAGTTTCTTACCTGAAATATAGTAAGCCCTGTTGAAAACACATAAACAAAGCACAAATATACATCTCATTAATACAGAATGCTTTATGTTTGTCAGGATGGAGAAGGTGCTGCTTTCTGGGCCTGTGGACCAATTAAGTATGTCATTACCAAATAAAAAACAAAGAAACAAAAACCAGGTGCACCACATGAGAAAAGGGGGGAATTGCCTCTTTGTCTTGATTAATTGATACTTAGTAACAGCCAATAAGGTACTGATGTAGGCTGGTTTGAAAAACAGTTAAAAGAATCCTACCTATCAGAAGAAGAAAGTTATTTGAAAAAGTAGTATAAAAGAAGATGAACACAGTACCTCAGGAACTGAAGCATGTGCTATGTGGAGTTACAGCATGAGGGATGCCTTGATGTTCTCCCTAGTAACATCAGGTAATGTTTTACATTGGTGTAAATTAATGATATTTTTATCTATACTTACAGCAGCTTTTTAGCATGTGGCATTTGATAAAGATGTTTTAGCAGTAAATTTATGAGGGTGTAAATTCATGAGACTGTCCTTTAGTCTCCTGCAAGCCTTTGCTTCTGCATGAAGTTTAGAATGTAGTAGTGAATGGAAATTCAATTGTGAACTGGCAATTCAATTTAGGTAAGAGCTATGCAGTAAGTTACTGTATCATATTAATTACTCATTTCTGAGCATGCACAGAAAAATGTTAGAAGCTTTTAGAACCATAACTTGAAAACCTAGGCAACTACAGAAATTAGATACATCTAGGAAAAAAGAGTTTGCCAACAATATTTTGGCTTTTAATAATAGAAGTTGTCTTGTGGATTTCTTCCTTAGACTTTAAGTAGAAAGACTGACACACTTAAATGTACCTCATCACAGTAACTGATCAAAGATTCTCAATTAAGATTCTTGTTAATAATGAATTTACTAACTACTTACTACTTTATTTCAAATATTACTTCATTTTATATACTGCTGTAGGTTTTGTGTATTTGGATCTCTACTCCAGTAGAGTTCAACAGTATGTCCAAAGCATGCTACTGATAGCTAGGATACCATCACTGAAATGCTGCTAGCTGTGAGGTGAAAAGTAAAAACTATTACTATAATCCTGATAGAGACTAACTTAAATTAAAAATAGAGTAGGTGCAAGTTAGATCCTTTACAGAAAAAAGCTGTTATAATACCCTGCTTTCCTCTTTTTACTGTGTCTCTCCTGAACCCCGTGTTCCTGTCTGTTGGCCCTATTCCAGCACCTCTACCGTGTCAGTTAATGATACAGTTATCTCCTTGCAGCTTATGTTCACTAACAAGTCCATTCAGCCTGGCCTGAGCAAGACGCAGCCACACATTCTACTGCTTCACTCTTGTGGTGTAGATGGCTTTTGAGGGGAGATGGGCAAAGTGGAAAGTTAGCCTACTAAAATCTCTTCAAAGAAGCAATACACTCCTACAACTAAGTTTAAACAGTTCCACTTACTTCAACCCCAATTTCTTCTCAATAAGATCTTTGAATTTATAGGCACCACCACCTGTAGCTTTGATGACTTTTGTCTCTGTATTGACAAGATGGTCTTTGATGAAATCTAGGCAGGTTTCAATATAAGTGTTTTCAAATTTAATGAAGTGAAGTCGAGCTGTAATCTCTTCCTGAACCGATATTTCATACAAAGGTTCATTTTCTATGTCCTTTAAAAGAGAAAAGAATTTCTTATAGGTCATTCAAAATCCTTCCTTGAGAAACAAGGTTATACACTAAACTACTGAACATCAATACCTGTGCTTCCTTTGCCTTGAAACTGTGTTAATGCTGTTAAAAACATAACATCCTAAGCTACTTTCAAAGAAGAATATAGTTTCAACAGACCTTAATAGTCCTTAAGCTGAGAATATAATCAGTTCTCCTATGCATTAGACATGCATGAAATATCTCTGTATGAGAAAAGTTATGTTTACATGGGAGTATGTTTTTACAAAAGCAACATACTTATCTGTCTAGAAAATAACTATTTCAAATGCTAACGGGTGATTCAAGCACTTTCAAGAAGGCAAGGAATATAATTGAGTTTGCCTTTGTATGGGCTGCACAACTCTGAAGCCCTGCAGTCTTTCAGTAAAGAGAACATGTATGATGTATCATCATGTGAATTTAGATCTACAGCTATGCTAAGCTTGCAAAGCAAAAGTAATTGCCAAACCCATGCTAACGGCCCTTTTACCCTGGAATATAGCGAAGGGTTATTAACGGGAGCCACACGGCTCATCTGAGCTGCAGTACAAATGCTTAGGGATGGCTGTAAGTGTCAGTACATACTAGAATGTGTGTTTAAAATAAATGTTTCAGCTGTGACAACTTACCTCAGAGTAACAGACATTACAGAAGGTAATACTTAAACTATAAGAGTTCTAGATAAAGTTTTGTATAAAACAAGTTACTAGATGGGTTTCAGATGAAATTTCTATTCTACTATGAGAAGCCAGTCCAGTACTTCGCTCTTACAAGTCAATTGCATGCAACTGATTAATGATACAATTCTTACCTTTCCAGAATGATCAAAGGATCTCACTCTTGCCACTTTGTGCTGCACAGTTGAATAATAAGCCAACTTGGTTAATGAACCACCTGTTAATAAAAAGATGACAAGTATGATTAATGCCTCACTTTAGAGCAAACAATATAACTTGTGTTTATGTATGCTTTACCTGTGAGTTCTTGGTTTTTAAGATCTCCTCAGCTAAAGCCAGATATAATTAAGCTACATGCATAATGCAATGAGCCAAAGAACCCTCGTCTGGAAACAGATTTGGCATGGTTAACTCCGAATGCACTACTTGTGGGAAAAGCTCCACAAGTTGAGCTTTTCCCCTATGCCCAACCGATGTGGGGCTGACTGAAGATGAGCAGGAATATGTGGAAGTTCTTAATTGGCTAGGCTAGCACATACATCACTGTTATCTTGTTTGAGAACTCTTTATAGAAACCCCCAAATCTGTTGCTTCTAAGAGGATTTTATAAGCAGGTTTGCCACAATTGAGCAATGCATGAAACAAAAAACGTTTCTTCAGGAACACTTAAGTAAATATTCTTGACCTGCTTCCAAGGACAAGCTACAAATTCATAGGTGGTTAGAAGATGACTCCGTGTACTGAATAACTATTTTGCATGATTATGCTTGGCTCTGGGGTAAAGAACACTTAGAATGATGTTCCTCGAGTGTACCAGTTAGCGATATTACCGACATGCAAGTCCAAGCAGACCAGCCCCATCACCCTCTTCTCTTCAGGCCTTGAGTCTGCTTACATCAAGACAATAAAACTTCCACTGCTCATCTTGAAACAGAGCTTAACCACTTGCCCTATCTGTGCTGTCTTTGCATCTGACCTCCAAAAGTGAATTTATGAAGTTAGACTGAGTAACTTCACTAACTCTTTTTCCTTAGGACAAAAGAGTACCTGCTGGTGCTTCTGATACCTCTGGTATCTTCATCAAGTAGATATTTGAGCCTGAAAGTGGGAGGCTGTCAAAGCCTGCTTATTTTTGTTAAAATAGGCTTTTAATTTCTCTTCCCTTCAGAAAGAAAAATGCCTCTTCAACTACTCCTGAGTATCAGAATCTAATTAAGGTATCAGTCTGCTTCATAAACCTCTAAGCTGCTTTGGCTGCTGGAGAAAAACCCTTAATTTTAACTTGGCATAAAAAGTACCCTGGGCTGCAGACCATAAGCACCCTTATCTGTACAGAAAGTCAGCTCTAACTGCATCCATGCTCTCAGAACAGCAGCACAAGGCAGTCAGGTGGTCTGTACCTCTCAGTGCTACAGGCCTAACATGCAGTTGAGTTTAAGTTTGCATGCATTACTTGCCTCTTGCCAAAGATCTGGCATGTTACCCCTTTCAGCAAGTTTACCATGCACCTCATAGAACATGCTGTGTACAAGGCAGGAAGTAATTATGACCAACTACTGGGTTAATATTAAAGTCCCAACAGTAAATAAAAATCTAGCAATATTAGATCGTAACATAATGGCTAAATTCAGTGGCCCTACACTCTGCCTTCTAAACAAGTGTAATCAAGAAATGCAGCATGGGCAAGTGAAAAATAATCAGCTAGTGCTTATAGCTTTGCCTGTATAACAGTACTCTCATCTCTTCCACGGTGCTTAAAAAAACAAGAAAATTTTTGCAACTTGTAGGAGAAAAATAGGCAGCTTTCTCCAGCAAAATTCAAGTGAGGTCAACTTAGAGTGATCACTGACAGATGTGTATAGTAACAAAAGCAATAAAGCTTTCCTGACCTCAGATCTTATTTCAGTGTACTAGCCAATGCTTTAAAGTTTCTGGTAAACAAAATCCAAACTCTGTTCTGTTAGCTCATTGCTTAAAGGTGAGGTTTTTCTTAGCTTTTGGTTTGTTTTTTTAAAAAACTAAATTCAGTAGCTCAGCACTATGAAGAAAAGCTTCCTTCCAAACCCCTAAGTGGAGAAATCATGAAGCTTGTGTTGGAATGTCATACTGTTTGTACAACACTGATAGTGATATAGGCGCTTCAGCAATTAATTTATCACCAGATAAACGGTATGTAAAGCTATGCTTTATACATTCTCCCCTTCCACTCCCAGTTTTTAAAGACTTAAATCTATTCAGAACACCAGCTGAGACATGTAACTAGGCTTTATAACTAATCCCACAACTCTAATTCCACTCTGACCCACAGAAAGGACCAATTCCAGCTGTTATTTTAACAGGCATGAAACAAGTAGCTTCTGAAGGAGTTAAGCAGACTTCTGATATGACAAGATCATATATTATGGTGTGTATATTCTTCCCACTACACAGTAAGTCTGTATCACCCAGGGCAGTGTTAACCAGAGGACTAATGGAGGCTGGCACCAGTACCACATGGTACTGTGGCTAAAGAACACTTTTTCTTCTGGCTTCCCTACTAAATGGCTCCACTGACCCAGTAACTGCAAAACAGAAGCAAACTATGTGAACTAGCATTTTTGGTTTTGCAGATCTCCATGGAATGAATGCTAATCCCTGCACAGGTGAAACTACTGTTAACAGGCTTAGCTCAGCTGTGATCCAGCATGGCCCCCCACACCAGCACCACTCCCTGCAGGGGAGCTGTAGTGCTCAGGTGTCACTTTGATGTGCGTTACTCTCTCTGTCCCTTGGTGCAGGCTGTTGTACACCCTGGAATGTTATCTCCTCAGGCTTATGCGTAGGGTGTGTGGTGTTTCTGGGGGTGACTGAGGAAGGAAGTGCAGCCGGCTGCTGTTACAGGCCCCTGACCCATGCCAAACCCGCTCATCTCTGCAGCCACCCTGCTTTGCCCGGGCAGGTGGAACAGCGGCTTTCCCCAGCCCTCCTTCGCCTTCAAGGTCCGCTTCAGGAGCACGGAGGAGCGCACGCAGCGCCCCGCTCGCCGCGGCCAGGTGCGAGGGG